GGAATTCACTGGTCTTACCACGTTCCCCATTATCCTGAATCATCTGGCTTGATAGAATGATTGAACGGCCTTCTAAAGACACAATTATGGTACCAGTTGGCGGCAATACCTTGCAGGGTTGGGTCAATGTTTTCCAAGAGGCTGTATATGCTCTAAACTAGCATCCAATATATGGTGCTGTTTCTCCCATAGTCAGGATTCATGGGTCCAGGAATCAAGGGATGGAAATGGGAGTGGCATCATTCACTATTACCCCTAGTGACCCACTCACAAAATTTTTGCTTCTTGTCTCTTCGGGTCTAGAGGAATGCTGCCACTTAAGAGACATAGCACTGATTTCATTGAACCGGAAGAATGCCATCTGGTGACTTTGAGTTCCTTATGCCTCTGGATCAACAGGCAAATAAAGGAGTTACCATATTGGCTGGGGTGATTAAAATCGAACTGACATTACATAATGGAGGTAAAGAAGAGTATGTCTGGCATCAGGAGATCCCTTAGGACGTCTCTTAGTGCTACCATGGTATGTGATTAAATTCAATGGAAAGCTAGAGGAACCCAATTCCAACATAGCTACTAATGGTCCAGACCCTTCAGGAATGAAGGTTTGTGTCAGCCCACTAGGCAAATGAGAAGGACCAACTGAGGCGCCTGAGGGCAAATGGAATACGAATGGGTGGGGGAAAAGGGTAGTTCTAAATACCAGTTGTGACTATATGACCAGCTGCAGAAAACAGTACTGTAATTGTTATCAGTATTCCTACCTTGTATGTGTGCATCAAATATTTTTGTTGTCTTCACTTATATAAACGGTGCTAGTGTATTTTCGGTTGTACGCATGTTAGTTATATCATGTTAGGCACAAGTATGACTGTAATTTTCTTAATTTAGAGACTGTGTATGGTTTAATGAGATGTGTACACTGCCAAATTGACAAGGTGTCTTAGGCTGGGTTCTCTAGAGAAGCAAAACCAGTAAAGCATATAAATATAGAGATTTATACCATGGAAACTGCTCATGTGATTGTAGAGGCTAGAACATCCCAAGTCTGTGATCGGGGTAGAGGCCTCTCCCAATTCACGCAGCTGTAGAAGCTGGCAAGCCCAAGGTTGGCAGGTCTGAGAGAAGGGCTCTCGCTCACAGGCTGCGAAGGTCGACGAATTCCAAGATCAGCAGGCAAGACTGCAAGGATTCTCCAGATTCACGTAGCTGCGGGGGCTGCTGAACCCAAGATCAGCAGGTCAGAGAGCAGGGCTCTGCTCACAGGCTGTGAAGATCGACGAATCCCAAGTTCGGCAGATAAGCTGACAGCTCAAGTCCCAAGAACAGGAGGTGAGACGACAGGAGGCAGCCGCAGGATCCAGAGTGAGCAAAAAGCCAGAACATCTGCTTATATTCAGATGCAGGCCACACCCCCAAGGAAACCCCCTTTCATCTGATTGGCTACTCACAGCATATTCAATCATGGGAGTGATAATATATAAACACTGAGAATCATGGCCCAGCCAAGCTGACAATCTTAACCATCACACAAGGGGTGGACTGTGGTGGTTAAGGTTGCATGTTAACTTGACTGGGCCACGAGACTCAGTGGTTTGGCAGTTAGGTAGAGATGTGTCATTGTTGTTGCTGTTAGGTGCTGTCGAGTTGGTTCCGACTCATAGTGACCCTATGTATAACAGAACGAAACACGACCCAGTTCTGGACCATCCTCACAATCGTTGTTATACTTGAGCTCATTGTTTCACCCATTGTGTCAATCCATCTTGCTGAGGGTCTTCCTCTTTTTCAATGACCCTCTACTTCACCAAGCATGATGTCCTTCCTTCTCCAGGAACTGGTCCCTCCTGATAACATGTCTAAAGTATGTCAAACGTAGTCTCGCCATCCTTGCTTCTAAGGAGTGTTCCGGTTGTACTTCCTTTAAGAAAGACTTGTTCGTTCTTTTGGCAGTGCATGGTATATTCACTATTCTTTGCCAACACTGCAATTCAAAGGCATCAAATCTTCTGGGTTCTTCCTTATTCACTGTCCAGCTTTCTGATGCATATGAGGTGACTGAAAACACCATGGCTTGGGTCAGGTGCACCTTAGTCATCAAGGTGACAACTTTGCTTTTCAGCACTTTAAAGAGGTCTTTTGCAGCAGGTTTGCTCAAAGCAATGCGTCTTTAGAATTGACTGCTGGTTCTATGTTGATATTGAATCCCAGTAAAATAAAATCCTTGACAAATTCAATTTTTCTCCATTTATCATGATGTTGCTTATTGGGCCAATTGTGAGGATTCTTGTTTTCTTTATGTTGAGGTGTAATCCATATGCAGGCTGTGGTCTTTTATCTTCATCAGTAAGTGCTTCAAGTCCTCTTCACTTTCAGCAAACAATGATGTGTCATCTTGATAATGCAGGCTGTTAATATATCTTCCTCCAATCTTGATGCCCCATTCTATTTCACATAGTCCAGCTTCTCAGATTATTTGCTTAGCATAAAGACTGAATAGGTATGGTGGAAGTATACAACCCTGACGCACACCTTTCCTGACTTTAAACCATGCAGTATTCAATGATTTGTTCAAACGACTGCCTCTTGATTGGTGTACAGGTTCCTCATGAGCACAATTAAGTGTTCTGGAATTCTCATTCTTCACAATGTTATCCATAATTTGTTATGATCCACACAAATGCCTTTCCATAGTCAATAAAACACAGGTAAACATCTTTCTGGTATTCTCTGCTTTCAGCCAGGATCCATCTGACATCAGCAATGAAATCCCTCGTTCCACGCCCTCTTCTGAATTCAGCTTGAATTTCTGGCAGTTCTCTATCAATATACTGCTGCAGCCTCTTGTGAATGATCTTCAACAAAATTTTACTTGCGTGTGACATTGATATTGTTCGATAATTTCCGCATTCAGTTGGATCACCTTTCTTGGGAACAGGCATAAATAGGATGTCTTCCAGTCAGTTGGCCAGGTAGCTGTCTTCCAAATTTCCTGGCACAGACGAGTAAGCACTTCCAGGGCTGCATCCATTTCTTGAAACATCTCAATTGGTATTCCGTCAATTCGTGGAGCCTTGTTTTTTGCCAATGCCTTCAGTGCAGCTTGTACCTCTTCCTTCAGTACCATTGGTTCCCGATCATACGCTACCTCCTTCAATGGCTGAACGTCGACCAATACTTTTTGTTATAGTGACTCTGTGTATTCCTCCCATCTTCTTTTTATGCTTTAGGATCCTTCAATACTGCAGCTCGAGGCCTGAATTTTTTCTTCAGTTCTTTCAGCTTGAGAAATGCCGTGTCCTTCCCTTTTGGTTTTCTATCTCTAGGTCTTTGCACGTCATGATAATACTTTGTCTTCTCAAGCTGCCGTTTGAAATCTTCTGTTCAGTTCGTTTACTTCATCATTTCCTCCTTTTGTTTTAGCTACTCTATGTTCAACAGCAAGTTTCAGAGTCTCTTCTGACATCCACTTTGGCCTTTTCCTTCTTTCCTGTCTTTTTAATGACATCTTGCTTTCTTCATGTATGATGTCCTTGATGTCATTACACAACTTATCTGGTCTTTGGTCATTAGTGTTCAATGCTGTCAAATCTATTCTTGAGATGGTCTTTAAATTCAGGTGGGTTGTACTCAAGGTCATACTCTGGCTCTTGCGGATTTCTTCTAATTTTCTTCAGTTTCAACTTGAACTTGCATATAAGCAACTGATGGTCTGTTCCGGAGTCACCCCTAGCCTTATTCCAACTGATAATATTGAGCTTTTCCATCATCTCTTTCCACAGATGTAGTCGATTTGACTCCTGTGTATTCCATCTGGTAAGGTCCATGTGTATCGTCATCGTTTATGCTGGCTGAAAAAGGTATTTGCAATGAAGAAGTTCTTGGTCTTGCAAAATTCCACCACGCGATCTCTGGCATCATAGTGACGTAGTCTGGCAGTTATGAAATTATATAAATTGTCAGTTATGTAATAACATTATCTTCCAGTTTGTGATATAATGTAATTACCTCCAAGATGTGATCTGACGTGATGAGCCAATCAGTTGTAAAGGTGGGCTCCTAAGGAGTATGGCCTGAATTCAACATATATGGATGTTCTGACAAAGACTGCTGTCTTTTGCTTGTTCTACATCCTGCATTGGGTTCATCATCATCTGACCTCTAGTTCTTAGAACTTGAGCCAGAGGGCTGCTGTACTGCCTACCAATCTTTGATTCGCCAGTCTCTGCAGCCCATCAGCTAGCAGCCTCCCGTACTGCTTGCCAAGCATGGGATCATCAGCCCCTGCACTTACGTGAGTCCAAAGCCTCCAGCCTGATGCCTAACCCATGGACTTGGGACTTGCCAGCCTCTACTATCGTGTGAGCCATTTCCTTAAGATACATCTCTCCCTTTGTGTGTGTCTCTCTCTCTCTATATGCTTCACTGGTTTTGCTTCCCTAGAGAATCCAGCCTAAGACATGCACATCAATCCTCCAAGTGACATTTTTGCTTTTTAACACTTTAAAGAGGTCTTTTGCAGCATATTTGCCTAATGTAATACATGGCCATGGCTATCTTCCAAGAAAACTTCACTTAAAAAACAAACAGGCAGGCAGAGGGCCAGGTTTGGCCTGCAGGCTGTAGTTTTGCCAATCTCTGGTCTAGACTATGGGTTCTGTAAGAGTAGGGACTGTACCTACTTTAATCTGCTTTACCCCTTGGACCAACGTCAGTCCCTGGAGAAAGTAAGGCACTTACTGTTGAATGAATGACTGAATATAATTCTGCTAGAGTTAGTTTATGCTGACTTTAGAGGGAAAATCCCTGAAGGTCAATATCTCCAAATATAAGAATGTCACCACTCCAAATACAACTCTAAGTCAAACAGGACATAGTTGAGCAAGAATCATCACTGACTCCTATTCTGTCCACAGCCCCTTCTAGGCCAAGAGTGTTCTGGCCAGAGCCCTTGGTAAGGCAGAGATTGTGGACCATGTAACTCCACCGACCTTCCCCACACCTGAAGCTATTGGACCAGGGAGGCCCAGCGACCACGAATGGGTTGCCTACATCTCCCTCTGTTGAGAAGCAGGACCATAAAGTACCAAACCGAGGGAACACCGGGTGGTGGGTCCTGAAGCTGGTAAGTCATCACATCGTGGGGAGCAGAAGAGCCATGAGTGGCCCCTTGTAGCTCATGGGAGCACCCTAAATCCAGTGACAAGTGTCCTTGGAAGAGACAGAAGAGAAGGCACGGGGACACACAGAGGAGAAGACCACGTGGAGGCAGAGGCAGAAATTGGAGTGATGAGTCTACGAGCCAGGAACAGCAAGGATTGCCGGGAACCACCAGAAGTTAGTAGAAGAATAGAGCAGATTCTCCCCTAGAGACTTCGGACGGTGTGCAACACTGCCAACACCTTGATTTCAGATTTGTGGCCTCCAGAACTGCGAGAGAATAACTTCTGTTGTTTAAAGCCACTCACTCTGCAGTGATTTATTGTAGCAGCCCCAGGAAATGAATCCACGTGGTACCCACCAGGCCCTTGCTTTCCGGTGCCACATTTTTTACCACCACTCCCTGTAAACACAACACCTGGAAAGGTCTCGGCATCACTCCATGATCAGTGATGTTATTGTAAGAGCTACATTTCCAATTCCCTACTGTTTTAATCTGGGTTTAAGGTAAAATTTAAAATGCTGCATGAATATAATTTTTATATATTGGTCTCCAAAGAGTATGCCTGTTTTATTACCGTAAAATTAAAAAGCCAGTTGTCCACTAGCACTAGAAAAATTGCAAATAAAAAGTTTAATTTTAGAAACTGAGTTCACCATTTATAAATACACTAAAACATAGTCAATGCAAATTTAGATTAAGCATAGGTACAGTATTTTAACAAAATGACTTTTCTAAAAGATCATAGGCAAGTGAGTGACTTGTTCCACCCAGAATATCAATTGGTTAGAAATGAGAAAATGAACGCTTTTCTAGATGTGAAAGCAAACACACTGATGAAAAACTGTTTAGAGAATTTGACGACTGATACTTCATTCTGATGTCCTTGGGATTCTAAAATACCCCAACAATGGCTGAATCTTCCCTATTAAAAAAGAAAACCCTAAACACATAAGGCTAGTCTTACAACCATAATATAATAATCTTCTTCCCTGTGAATACGGCATCTCTTCTAAAAAGACTTTTATACATAATTTGATCAAACTTGGAATCAGTGCACAGTTTTACAGCTACATAGCATAGACAGACTAAATCAGAGGCTTGGAGATGTAATTAACTGAACTTTTGCTGTAAACGTGTCATATTATGTATGCACTGGCTAAATAATAAACGTGAATTTGCAATCTTCAACATTTCAAAGGAATTCATTATAAATAGTTGGGATATCTCTGAGTTAACTACGATGGGAAACCTGAATGCAAAAACATAAACGGGAAAATTTTCTTGACCAAATTACTATGGAACAGAGATCCACAATATATCTCAATTCACTTTTGTTTTCAAATGCTATGTCTCTGTACTAGTAAACAGTTATCTTCCATAATAGTCACTGTAATCCTCTAAGTACTTTAGAGCTTGCAGTTAACAACTGCTTTGAAAGGATGGCTTGAACTCCACCTCTTACATACAGATTTCATCTGACAGTCACAAAAGCTGTTTTGTTGCAATTAAAGCGACGCTTAACTAAAATACAGTACCTGATTTATGGTTTTCACATAATTGAATAAAAAGTCTAGAGAATAGAACTGTTTACATCTTTTCTGCCCCTCTATTAAAACAAATTACTAACCCCCAACTTTTAAAAAAATTTACAGTTATGAATTAAAACCTAATCATCATAATTGACAAGACAGGCTATTTCTAGTGAAGTTCTTAAAAAAAAACAAAACATATCTACAGCATCTGGCCTGAAGAACTAGGAGTAAGGCACATGTAGACATGACATAGAAAGCTGGACAGTGACACTCCAACTCGGACCTGCGAGTCCCTCACCTGATGTCCTACATGGCCCCGATCGGAGCGAGTCAGCAGCCCCAGTGGCAGACACAGCTAATGCCTAGTAAGCAACATTTTTTAGCCTGGTGGCTCCATCAGGAGTTTCAATACTGAAAGTATACTAAGGGAAGATTCACTTTCAAAAAGATAAGTTTTTCAAAGTGTTCCATCATGAGCCGGGACTGGCTGAAGCTACTGTTTTCAGTGGATGTGTTGAACAGCTTTTCTGAAGGGACGGTACTCGGGGGGCAGCCCAGAAACCTGACCGCCAGGGCCGCCAGGGCCGGCCAAGACGACTTCTTCAGGTTCCAGTAGGTTAACGGATCACAGCTGTGGTCAAGCACCTCTTCCTCCAAGTAGGCAAGCACCATGTCTTCAGGTAACTTTGTCTTCTCTCTCAGATCCTTTCTTTTCATCTTGGCCATGAGTGACCACAGGTTTTCCTCTGCAACAGAGTCTTTAGATGGTGAACCTGTATCACACCCATTGGAAACAGGTTTATCATCTGAGGTAGAATTCAGTATTTCTAGTTCCCTGATTAAATCTTGCTTGTACTGCTCGGCCTCCTCCTCTGTAAATAAGGAGGCTTTGTAACGAGGGTCCAAAAGTGTAGCAAAGATGTACCTCGGATCGTGGAGGGTGGAGGACAAGCGGCTCACCATGGCTTCCTTCAAAGACTTTAGCATGGTGTCAATGCCCATCGTCTCCTCAAACAGCATCTCGATTTTCCTATTAAGGATGTGGATCATGGGGATCACCTGGCTGAGAGCAGACACGCGTGTGCTCATTTCCCGACTCGCGACATCAAAGGGTTTCAGCGCGTGGCACACGGACTGCATGACTTCCCACTGGTCACAGCTGATCAGTTCCCTAAAGTTACACTCGATGGACATCTCATTAATGGCCCTTTTCTGTTCAATGAGTCTTTCAAGCATATGAAACGACGTGTTCCATTTGGATGGAACATCTTGAATCAGATGGTGTTGGGGCAATTCATATTCTTTCTGCAGCTCTGCTAGTTTCTCTTTTGCTTTGGGTGACCGATGTACCCGCTCACATATCTTGCGTGCAATGCTCAGTAAGTTCTGAACCATCCTCTGACTTTTGATGGCCTCATTCACAATGAGGTTTACTGTGTGGCTGAAGCACTGCACGCTCGAGTGATCCCCTTCGTTCAAGGTCTTCCCGATGCTGGGGTTGTCAGTCACCGTGATGCCAATCTGAAGGCCAACGGATGTCACCCAGGCTTCCCACCAACATTCCAGCTGCTTCTGAATGCTGTTGCCACCGTAGTCGCAATCAATCTGCGACACGTCCAAGAGTGCTGAGCGATGGTGGTCTTCACAGCGGGGGCGGACTGATGATGCAAAGGTGACCCAGTGAGCCGTCAGGGTCAGGTACTCACGCGTCTGGTTACTCATCCATATCCCAGACGTGAAGTGGACCACGCCACTCTCAGCTTCCTTAAGATGGGACAGAATGACCTGTTTCACATTATCGTACATACCTGGAATAGCTGTCCTGGAAAAATAAGACGGTGAGGGTAAAGAGTACTGAGGTTTCAAGTATTCAAGCAGCCTGTTAAAGCCAACATTGTCTACAAAAGAATATGGCTGAAGGTCAAGTGCAATCATTTCAGCTATGAGACTTGTTATTTTTTTGGCAACTGGGTGAGAATCACAGAACTTTTCACTGGTGTCATCGCAGGATGAAGCACCTAGTAACTCTGCGCTCAGTGGCACACGCGTTTCTGGAGAAGAGGGCAACGCTGTGTCCGAGGTGTCGTTTTTTAGCACGTTGCTATGAAACCTCTGTAAGTGTCTTAAAAGGCAACTGGTACCTAAGTTCGTTGGCTTCTTTCCCCTGCTTATTGTTCGTCCACAGTGCAAGCACACGACTTTAGTGGAGTCTGCTGAACAAATAGAAAAATGATTCCACAGTTTTGAGGTCTTTTTGCTATTAACAGGAAATATAACCTGATTATCTTTTGAAACCATTGTGGGCAAGTCGCTTAATTTGGAGGAGCTTTCTGCAGAAGCCAGAGTGGCATATGGAGAATTTGCTAGACTTGCACCTAGAAAGCCCCGTTGGTTCCCAACAACTTCAGGGTGGCGTCTATAGAGATGCCTCATCAAACAGCTCGTGCCCACATCACCCTTCTTGCCCCGACTGATAATACAGTTGCAGTATCTACACACTGCCTTCAGACTGTCCATGGGAGCTAATGAAAAGTGATGCCAAACTTCGGACTTCAGTCTCTTCATGACCTTTTTATTCTGCTGAAACACAGTGCCAGATTCAAATACCCGAGGACTCGGTCCGTCACCCTGCTTCTCAGGAGAAGACACCATGGAGGTGTCGCCAACATCCTCGGATGATGACAGCACCAACACGTCCTCCAGTAATGTCTCTCCAGGATTAAAATGAGAATGGATGTCTTCGGGCAGCCTGTCAGGAGAGGAGGACGCCGAGGTGGGTTCTCCAACCACTTTTCCTGGTGACGACGACCCGGAATTGAAGTCGCCATCCGAAGGCAGCAGAGAGGGCAGCAGAGTGGGAGGCGTGGAATACGGTGGCGGGATGCCTGTGCCACCCCCATTCTCCTGCAGGACAATGGAGCGATGGGCCCTCCACATGTGCCTGATCAGACAGCTCGTCCCAAGATCCTTCCCGTTCTTCCCTCGGCTGAACTCATTCATGCAATGAATGCAAACAGCTTTAGAGTTGTCTAAAGGAGACAAATAGAAGTGCTTCCAGACAGCAGATCTTCTTCTGGAGCCTGATGTGCTCTTTGGAACCGTGAGGCTTTTTTCCGTGCTGATCTCCACAGACTCATCATAATGGAGACTGGGCAACTGTGGAGACGACCCCACCATGGCTTCTTCTTTGCTGTATTTCTCAGAAACAGACATGTCAGAGGAAATTTCTTCAGAAGAAACGACAGACACAGATTCCTCAGTTATTCGATCAGGGGATGGTACCTTAGATGCAATGTTTTTGACAAGCTTTATGGGTGAGAGTATGGTGCTTAGGTCTCCTCCATCTGCAGACGGGGGTGAGAGCAGGAGTGAAGAAGAAAAGGAGGCCATGTTGGACACACTGCCATTTTCCTGAATCAACACAGTAGGATGAGCTCTTCTCACATGTCTCATGAGACAACTAGTACTTAAATCTTTTTCATTTTTACCTCGACTAAATTCTTTCATACAGTACATACATATTGCTTTAGTACTATCTCGAGGAGAGATAAAAAAATGTTTCCAAGCTGGAGATTTCTTCCTGGAGTTTATGTTTCTGTTGGAGAGAAGGCTCTGCGTCACAGCTTCCATTGCTACGTCATACAGTGTGCTACTGTACTGGGAGAACAGGGACCCATAGTCGTCCTCGTTGTCCGGGGGCACGTACTTCCCAGGGGGTGGGAAGGCACAGTCCGCCTCTCTGCTCTCGAGGCGCTCGTCCCCGCTGTCTGTGTGCTGCGGGTGCCCTTGCTCACTTCTCAAATCCATCCTCTCCAAGCTGTGATTGGGAGTTTGATCATCGTCTTCCACTTCTATTTTAAAAGTGATTTTATCAGAAAGAAACTCATTGTCCACCTTTGGACAAGTTTCCTGGCTATTATCCATGACTGACCATAGCTATTCTTGCTGCTTCATCATGTTAACGCAGGAGGTTGGTACAAAGCTGATCCAAACAATCATATGTGTCCCAAATGGAGACACTCTTCAAGTTTTCATAAAAAGTCTATCTTTTGGGGTGTTTTGGTGGACATGACTAACCATAAATCTTACTGAAACAAAATATGCAGCTCACATGAGCATATCATCTTCAGGCACACATCACTGCCTTCCAGGAGTTCTACTGTGAAATCCTTCGTGGTGCTGACATAAATTTATGTCGTGGAGGCTTGCTTTGGGGTTCAAAAACAGGATGCCCTTCATCTTGAGAGTATAAATATGATCCTTTCGCATCACCTATAAAAGATGAAATCAAATTAAATAATGGACTAAATCACACATTTCAAATATATTCTATCATGGATATATCAGCTTCAATATGGATAGAAAGGAATTCTATAAAAGCAAGTTAACATCAGTGAAGTTAAGGATAACCCAGAGATTGGGAAAAAAATTTTCGGGAACACTATATTGGACACCTCCACACGTCTGTCAGTTTGTCATACTGTGGGGGCTTGCGTGTTGCTGTGATGCTAGATGCTATGCCATCAGTATTCAAACACCAACAGGGTCACTCATGGTGGACAAGTCTCAGCTGAGCTTCCAGACTAACATAGACTAGGAAGAAGGACCTGGCGGTCTAAATCTGGAAAAAATTAGCCAGTGAAAACCTTATGAATAGCAGCCGAACATTGTCTGGTATAGTGCCTGAAGATGCGCCCCTCAGGCTAGAAGGCACTCAAAAGACTGGGGAAGAGTTGCTTCCTCAAAGTAGAGTTGACCTTAATGACTTGGATGGAGTCAAGATTTCGAGACCTTCATTTGTTGATGCGGCACGACTCAAAATGAGAAGACATAGCTGCAAACATCCATTAATACTCAGAACATGGAATGCACGAAACATGAATCTAGGAAAATTGGAAATCGTCAAAAATGAAGTGGAACGCATAAGAATCAATATCCTAGGCATTACTGAGCTGAAATGGACTGGTATTGGCCATTCTGAATCAGACCATCATATGGTCTCCTATGCCAGGAATGACAACTTGAAGAGGAATGGCGTTATATTCATCATCAAAAAGAACATTTCAACGTTTACCCTGAAGTACAATGCTGTCAGTGATAGGATGATACCTGTATGCCTACAAGTAAGACCAGTTCATATGACTATTATTCAAATTTATGCACCAGCCACTAAGGCCAAAGATGAAGAAACTGAGCAAACATGCAGTCAGGATGCAATGATGATTACTGATGACTGGAATGCAAAAGCTGGAAACAAAGAAGGATCAGCAGTTGGAAAATATGGCCACCATTGCAGTGGTAATAGAAATGATGTTGGAGACCAAATGATAGCAATTTGGCAAGACCAATGACTTCTTCATTGCAAATACGTTTTTTCAACAACATAAACAGCAACTATACACGTGGACCTTGCCGGATGGAAAACACAAGAATCGAATTGACTACATCTGTGGAAAGAGACGATGGAAAAACTCAATATCATCAGTCTGAACAAGGCCACGGGCTGACTGGGGAACAGAGTACTAATTGCTCATATGGAAGTTCAAAGTGAAGCAGAAGAAAATTAGAAAACGTCCATGAAAGCCAAAGTACAATCTTGAAAATATTCCACCTGAATCTGGAGAACATCGGAAGAACAGATTTGATGCAATGAACACTAATGACCGAAGACCAGACAAGTTGTGGAATGACATCAAGGACATCATAAATGAAGACAGCAAGAGGTCATTAAAAAGACAGGAAAGAAAGAAAAGTCCAAAATGGATGTCAGAAGAGACTCTGAAACTTTCTCTTGAACATCGAATAGCTATAGCGAAAGGAAGAAATGATGACGTAAAAGAGCTGAACAGCCTCAAAGGGGAGGTCAAGAAGACAAAAGTATTATAATGACACGTGCAAACACCTGGAGTTAGAAAACCAAAAGTGAAGAACATGCTCAGCATTTCTCAAGCTGAAAGAACTGAAGAAAACTTTCAAGCCTTAAGTTGCAACAGAGAAGGATTCTACAAGAAAAATACTGAATGAAAAACAAAGCATCAAAAGAAGATGGAAGGAATACACAGAGTCACTGTACCAAAAAGAACTGGTCAACATTCAATCATTTCAGGAGGTAGCGTATGATCAAGAACCGATGGTACTGAATGAAGAAGTCCAAGCTGCAATGAAGGCATTGGCGAAAAATAAGTCTCCAAGAATTGATGGATTACCAACTGAGATGTTTCAACAAACAGATGCAGTGCTGAAAGTGCTCACTTGTCTATGCCAAGAAATTTGGAAGACTACTACCTGGTTAACTGGAAGAGATCCATATTTATGCCTATTCCAAAGAAAGATGATCCAACGGAATGTGGATATTATTGAACAGTATCGTTAATATCACACACATGTATAATTTTGCTGAAGATCATTCAAAAGCAGTTGCAGCAGTATACTGACAGAGAACTGCCAGAAATTCAAGCCAGATTCAGCAGAGGACATGGAACGAGGGATACCACTGCTAATATCGGATGGATCCTGGTTGAATGCAGAACAATACCAGAAAAATGTTTACCTGTGTTTATTGACTATGCAACAGCATTTGACTGTGTGGATTATAACAAATTATGGATAACACTGTGAAGAATGAGAACTCCAGAACACTTAATTATGCTCATGAGAAGCCTGTATATGGATCAAGAGGAGTCGCTGAAACGGAACAAGGGGATATTATGTGGTTTAAAGTCAGAAAAGGTGAGCGTCAGGGTTGTATCCTCCGATCATACTTACTCAATCTGTATGCTGAGCAAACAATCCAAGAAACTGGACTATATGAAGAAGAATGGGGCATCAGGATTGGAGGAAGACTTATCAACAACCTGCATTATGCAGATGACACAACGTAGCTTGCTGAAAGTGAAGAGGATTTGAAGCACTTACTGATGAAGATCAAAGACTACAGCTTTCAGTATGGATTACATCTCAACATAAAGAAAACAAAAATCTTCACAACTGGACCAATAAGCAACACCATGATAAACGGAGAAAAGACTGTGAAGTTGTCAAGGATTTCATTTTACTTGGATCCACAATCAATACCCATGGAAGTAGCAGTCAAGAAATCAAACAACGCCTTGCACTGGGGAAATGTGCTGCAATAGACATCTTTAAAGTGTTAAAAAAATAAAGATGTCACTTTAACGATGAAGGTGCGCCTGACTCAAGCCATGGTGTTTTCAGTTGCTTCATATGCATGCAAAAGCTGGACGATGAATAAGGGAGACAGAAGAAGTGATGCCTTTGAATTGTGGTTTTAGCGAAGAACACTGAATATACCATGGACTGCCAAAAGAACGAACAAATCTGTCTTGGAAAAAGTACAACCAGAATGCTCCTTAGAAGCAAGGATAGCGAGACTGTGTCTCACATACTTTCGACATTGTCATGGATTGAATTGGGTCCCCCCAAAATATCTGTCAACTTGGCTGGGTCATGATTCCCAGGTATTGTATGATTGTGTACCATTTTGTAATCTGATGTGATCTCCTTATGTGTTGTAAACTCTATCACTATGATCTAATAAGATGGATTAGCCGCAGTTATACTGATGAGGTCTACAAGATTAGACAGTGTCTTAAACCAATCTCTTTCGAGATATAAAAGAGAGAAGTGAGCAGAGACACACAGGAACCTCACACCACCAAGAAAGCAGTGCCAGGAGCAGAGTGCGTCCTTTGGACCTGAGGTTCCTGCACTGAGATGCTCCCAGACCAAGGGAAGACTGATGTATCACAATGACCTTCCTCCAGAGCTGATAGAGAGAGAAAGCCTTCTCCTGGAGCTGATGCCCTGAATTTGGACCTGTAGCCTATTGGACTGTGAGAGAATAAACTTCTTTGTTAAAGCATCCACTTGTGGTATTTCTGTTATAGCAGCACTAGATGACTAAGACAGATAGGTTACCAGAAGGGACCACTTCCTGGAGAAAGACATCATGATTGGTAGAGGGTCAGCGAAAAAGAGGAAGACCCTCAGTGAGATGGACTGACACAGTGGCTGCAACAGCAGGCTAAAGCATAACAATTGTGAGGATGGCGCAGGACCGGGCAGTGTTTTTCTATTGTACGTATTGTACATAGGGTCGTTATGAGTCGACAGCACCTAACAACAACAGCAGGTATGTAGTGTGGTATCTTACTGAAGTTTTAATTTGCAATTCCCTAAACGACTAATGATGCCGAGCATCTTATCATGTACTTATTTACCATTTGTATCTCTTTTTGGGTGAAATGTCTGTTCAAATATGTTGTCTAGAAAAAAGGAGGCGGAGCCAAGATGGCACAGTAGGCAGATGCTTCCTGTGGTCCCTTTTACAACAAAGACCTGAAAAAACAAGTGAGTCAATTATATATGACCATCTAGGAGCCCTGAAGATCAAAAGTAAATTTGAGGCATCAGACTGAGTGGCAGGGGGAGGGAGAGACGGTTTGGAAGCCGCGAGGAGTTGCCAGACCTGACCCAGTGGGGGCTGGAGCCCTTCAGGCTGGATCGGTTCGTGTGTGTGGTGAGGGAAGCAGTGGCGTTCAGCAGGTGTTTTCCACATCGGAAGAGACCCAGTGGCAGAGTCTACTCCGGCATCCAGAACCAGCGAAAAGCAGCGCTTAAACGGTAAAAGGTTAAGTACTTTCATCTGACCTACCGCGCAGATCAAAAAACACTCCCTTTGGGAGAAACCTCTCTCCCACTTACCAGCTCCCTCCGTGCTCTGCACTGGGTCTCAGGCAGGCTTCAGTGACTCCGGAGTGCTCAAGGTTAGAAGTAGGACCCATCAAGCACCCTGAGCCACTCTCCTGGCCTTGGAGAGGGAACAAATCAACAAACAGGAAAAAATTATCTGCCGGCTCCCGTAATCCAGGAACTCAGGGTAGGCACAGCTCCTTTGCCTAGGCACAGGCATAAGGGGTCCATGGACTTTGAGTGCCTTCCCTCCTGCATAGACTTGTGTGGGCCCATTTCAACAGCACAGAGCCTCATTACCACAGTACAACACAGTGTACACCTGAAGTCTAACTTCAACTGTTTCTGCTATATGGTGAAGTGGTAGGTTCGTGACAGTTGACACTGCTTTGCCCATTAAGCAGAGTCCTCACCTACCCACATCAAGGGGCTGAGGATTGGTAGCTCCATCCATGCCACCTGGTCACCCGTGACAGAGATCCAAGAATAAGTGGTGCCCCCTAGTCCTTACAGCCAACAGTACTGGGTGCTCAGACTCCAGCTGCAAAACCCAGCCACCT